GTTAAACACAGCGCAGCACAAAATGTAGTAATTTAGATGATCATGAATATCATAAAGAAAGGCCAAGATAAGTTAACCCAATAGGTTTGCGAAGATATTGTTGCGAAAAAGATAGACCCAGAAGGCACAGACTTGGGGGATTATACATATGTAGAGCTAGTTAGTTGAACAGAGCTGCCAATAGGAAGAGCTCGCGTCAGTCTATCTGCTGTCGTCCTTTTCCTTGTCTTGCTGATCGCTATGCCAATGGTACGTAGTGTGACCTGCGGTGGTGGAAGCACCGTCCAGAAGGTTCAGTGGTCGTCCTCAGAAGCATATTCATAGATCTTGAGCCGTGGCACGTGAACAACATCACTTGACTGAACTAATGTGACGGAGAGGGGGGAACAAGTTAACCGAGTCACGCTACGTACCGGTGGCATAGCGGTCAGGAATTGCCTGCCGCAATCGACGGTGAGGTATCGTGTAACGTCAGAAAAGCTTTTCGGATAGGCCATCCCGACGATTGGGAGACCAGAGTAACACAAGGGCACCAGGAGCGAAACGTGCGTCGCAATGAGAAGCATCCTAACGACGTCGTTGTTTTCTCTGTGACGCCGTCAGGCGAGCACAGGCAAGCTGATAGGCATGATTGGCCGTGAAATAGCTTCACGAGCACACTCGCTGGTGGACGACGTGCTTGAAATGATGGTGTCCAGGGGTAAAGTCGGCTTTCTTTCATACTGTAGGTAGAAAGGTGAAAAGCCTGCTGTGTCGGGCTAAGACGAGGTCTACGCGAACGTCACGTAGGGTAAAGCAAGATCCCAGTCTTGATGGTCCAGTGACACATACAATGCAAGCAGGTCTGTAAGAATACAATTAAATCATTCCATGTGGCCGTTGGTTTGCGTGTGGTAAGCGGTGATTATTTCTGCTGCCTGGAACAGGAACGCAGAATGTCGGCGATGACTTGGGAGAGAAATCTACGGCCACAATCTGTGAGCAGCTGTTTTTGCACACCATGAATCAATATGACGTCACCTAACAGGAAGTAAGTAACGTCGGTCGCACAAATCGCTGGCAGAGTTCGAGTAATAGCTCAGCGTGTGTCGTTTTCACCAGCGACATCTATCCACTTGTGGCCTACTGTTCATTAGGGAAAAGGAACAAGCAGGCCTAACCCGATGTGATGAAATGGTACCGTGGGTATGTCGATTGGTTGTAGATGGCCAGCGGGTAGCAACACTGGTGTTTTGCGACGTTGACATCGCTCACACGTGGTGACGTATTGGCGTATACCGAGCGAGCAAGGCCTAGCCTGTTGAGAAGGCACCGCACGCACTCGTGCGTGCCAGATACGCCAAGGTGCCCTGCTCAGGGCGCATCATGGTGTTCAGCGAGGGCACTATGCCGTCAATTATTAGGCAGGAGAATAAGAAGGTCAGGCCCGTCAGGTTAAAAAATTACGGTGGTATAGGATGCCCGCTTGAAACACGAGGTGACGGACGGAGGCATCTGTTGGGGAAGACTCCATGCGGCTGATGATGTCGAGCAGCAGTCGATACTTTCTCTCTTCTTTTCTAATGTGAAGAAAGTCGGACACTGAGAAGATGGCGTGTACCGTGTTCGCGTCGGGGTAGGCAGGATCGTGGATGAGACACCGGGAGAGGCAATCAGCATCCTGGTGCAGGCGGCCAGATTTGTACACGACCGAGTTAGAAACTTCTTGCAGGTGCAAAGCCCCGTGGCCAAGGGCCCTTAGGGATGTTTAAGAGGGTTCAACCACACAGCTTGTGGTGGTCTGTAACTACCAAAAATGGTGTACCTATAGGTATGGCCGAAACATGGCGACCGCACAAACGAGAACCAAGCACTCGTGCTCTTTGATAGAATAATTGCGTTCAGACGACCAATGACTGCGTATGTTCGTACAATGTTATGGGCATGTAAGCTAGAAGGGATTTTGCAAGGAGATGCATGATGCACAGCGAGATGTTCACTTCAATGCCGATATTTAGCAAAATAATTTCCGGTGTGCAGTAGGTGCCCGAAGCTTTCAGAATGGGAGCCTGCGCATGTCCATATCATCTGGTATGCGTTCCGTCTACAGACTAGTCAGTACACTTAACACATGCTGTTCAAAACTACGAGGTCCTCCTTGTGATACAAGCCAGTGTAAGGGACTGACTGACCCGAAGCCACATCAGCAAAAATTCATCCACCTTGCTAATCTGAAGAGAAACAGGCCAGACGCACCATAGAATGATGATGATAATGATGATGATGATGATGATGATGATGATGATGATGATGTTTGATGTTTGGTGGTGCAAGGGCCACTTCATGGCCAAAGAGTGCCAGTTCGTCTTACTTTAAAGATATGGACAATGGTTGTGATAAGCGGCGGTATAAGGACCATAAAATTCCTCACGCTAAAGCGTGTAAAAACACAGAAGTAATAAAATCATGACCATGCCTTGAAAGGTGTGTGGTGTTAATGGATGACAGAAGTTTGTGATAATAAAACGATGGTGGGCATGTATGGCATTAACACAAGTGCCTCATTCGTTCATGCCCTTGCGTCCAAGGGCCGTGAGGCAAGTGCTTTGTTGAGTGTAGCCACCGCAGCGGAGACCTCTCTGGAGAGGTTGTGCTACGGAATGCCCGGGTATATGATATGAAAAGTGCGAAGTTCTCTTTAAAAAGCTATCAATGATTTGTGTGTAAAAAGTGGTTCCCTACCGACAAAAATTGCAGGATAGAGTGGTATCTATTGTCGGTAGGGCAACAGAAAGTGTTGTCTTGTCAGCGTGTTTAATTCTTTACACTGGATTAGAATGTGAAGTAGGGTGAGTTCTTCTCCGCATCTATTACACAAAGGGGGATCAGCCCCAGGCAAAAGAAATGAATGTGTTGTGTGTATCTCCTCTTCTTAACCTTGTAAGGGTTACTTCTGTCTGGCATGATTTTGATACTGGCGGCCAAAGACCAAGTTGTGGCTCGATGACATGTAATTTATTACCCATGTGTGTGTCCGATGTGCCCTGCCAATAGCCCCTGTGCCTTCATTTTAGAAAAGGTTTCAAGTCGAGTGCAGGAACTGGTATGAATGTATTGGAAGTGGTTTTGTTGGCAGATCCAGCTAGCTGGTTCACCAGTACGTTGCCTTGAATTTCACGGTGTTCTGGCACCCAGAAGACTACAACATGCTGCTTAGTTGAGTAGAATGTGCTTAGGAGCGAATAAAGTGAGACAAGAACTGGTTTTTTTTTTGCTTTTTAGGAGTTTTCAGAGCTTTTAGTACGCTGAGGAAATCTGTATACATTATTGCTTTCCGTAGTTTTATTTTTTTAATGTGTTTGATGGCCGCAAGTATCGCATAAGCATCGCAGTTGAAAATGCTTGAATCAGAGTACAGAACGCTGGCTTCCGAAAAGGATGGGCCGACGGCTGCGTACGAAATAGAAGTGTCGGACTTTGAAGTATCCCTGAAGAATCAGAACATGTGTATTTCTGTTGTAGTTCTAGGAAGTATGTCTGGATATGTGCAGTTGGTGCATGCTTCGTAACCTCCAAGAAAGACACGTCGCAATGTATTGTCTGCCATTGCCATGGTGACAGGCATACTGCGGGAGCCATCAAAGGGTGTTCAAGTGGCACACCAATTTCCTTCGCTAGGCCTTCACACGGAGTGATTAGCGCTGTATCGTAGAAGGCCGTTTCTCAAACACAGCAGGGCTTGACATGTCATTAATTGTGTGATGTGATAGGTGATCATTGTCTTCATTTACATTAAGATAGTATTTAAAAGACGTAACATTTCGGCAGGTGCAGCGACTTTTCGTTCGATTCCACGTACAGGCTTTTCATGGGGCTAGTGCGAAAAGCACCCGTAGAGAGACGGAAGCCTAGATGATGAACAGGGTCAAGATTTTAAGGGCAGTAGGAGACGCACCATAGATAAGAAGGCATGCGCTCTGCAGTGCAGGAAAGCGTGTGAAACCTTTTGGACATGTACGAAGAAGAACAATGGCAAAAGCGTGTAGAATTTTGAGAATTGTTCAGTTAAGACAACTGACTGATATTGCCTGGAATGAAATGTAAAGCGTATATGCCATATCTTCATTTGCTTTAGCTATCATCTGTATTGCTAGAGCTATTCCCATAGACGTGAGTACTGAAGGAGGGGGATGCGGGGTAGGAGGGTGCGCCCTCATAATCAAGTGTAGGAGACGGCAATCATGCCGAATACTTCCATTCAGTCAGACCTTTTACGTTATTTTTTAAATGGACAATGTTATGGCTACGGATACTTTCTTGACGGCAGTGGTGACCAGGTACTGCTGTTGTTGCAATGAAAGAACTGTTTGTTTCCCACATGACTTCGGAAAGCCAGAGACCAAAAGCATAGCTGCACGAGGAGCAAATAATCACTTTTTTGTTCAGCTTTGCATGCATTGCGCAGATCGTTTTGTTTCGCACTCGAGAAATAGACAGAGGGGGGAGGAGGCTGCGGTAAAACTCCCCTCTCTTGCTTTATTGGAAAACATCGCACACGTTTATGACTTTTCATGTGTTTGCCAGACATGCTGCAGTGATGGTGATTTGGGATCGTGCTTGGAGGCGCTTATGTAGCTGGATGGCTGGGCGTTAAGTGCAATAATCGTCAAGCAAAGAATGAAACGTCGAGTAATGTTTGCTGTTACGACACATTATAAACGGACAAAGCTTTAACGCACAAGCACCATCCTAATATTTATCAATCCTTTGTAGAACTGTTGCCTTGAATATGTTGTTTTTAACAACAGTGCAAAAAAGCAAATTATTACTACAAAAAATTACCTATTCGCCGAGTATATACGACTCAGAATATTTTAGGCTAGTGACCCAGTGGTCAGTTTGCTTATTTTTGTGCAGTCCGCAGGTATTTTTTGTATCCTGATAGTAAAAGTTTGCTTTACCTGTGTATATGTGTGACAGGTTCTGATTATTTGTCCTTTTGATCCTTTGACTTAAAACAGGTTTCACCGACAAGGGTGTGCCTTCTGCTATTCGCCTTCCTGGCAGTGCACTGTAGTGCGTACCCGAAATCATCGACGTCATCGACAGCAGATTCAGTCACCTTAGGAACCGGCCGAGGGCTGCCATATCAAAGTTCGGCACGCCGGCATCGCCACGGACGCCGTTTGGACGCTGGACCAGCATTGCTGCCTCGAAGAGCCCATGTTGATTCGAGAGGTAGCACTCCTGTAGTTGCAGATTACGATGCCGAAGGTGAAGACTACCGGCCATACTACGACTACTGGCCCCCAAGTACTGACAAACGCAAAGACAAAGCACTGGGTGGGTACCACCCTCATTGGCGCCACCACAGGCAAGGTAGGCGACGCTACGACGAATTCGACAGCGACTACTACTACGACGGTTACGTGGACAAACACGACTACAAGAACGAGTACGACATCGTGTTTCCCCTGCTGATCCTGATTATGGCACCACTGGCGGTGTCTGCTTTTCTGCTTCCGATCATTGCATCCATGATGACCAACACGTTTTTCCTCGTAAATGGGGCGACGTCGGCTGCTATTCAAGGACGTCGCAGGCGGAGTGTGCCAGAGCTGGTGCCATCAGTTGAAGAGCTCAACAAGCTGGAAGAGGTTCTGTTAAAGGCCATCGAGAAGTACACGGGCCTCGGAGGAATTCAGGATAAGAAAGACGTGGCTCAATCGTCGACACACTACCAAGCCATGAAGACCTGAAGAAAACGTGCGTGCTTAGAAAAGGACGACTTGCTGCTGTGCCTTGTGGCCAAGAAACTGGGAATAAGTGGACTCTTGAGGGCCCATTGTTCTTGCCTGTAGATGCGCTGGAATACAAGTGTTAGGGAAGGTATGCTCAGGTCTAAAATATGCTTCGTACTCGATTGCTGTTAAGGTTGTACCGGTATCAGCAACACATGTCGACACTTGAAATAATGTCAAAAAGTCTGACAAGTCCCGCTCGAAGTGCCTAGATATTTCTATTTTCTACAAATATGCAAAGGTTCTTAACAACTGAGTCACGCTGCCAAGCCTGTATTGTTGGCATAAATCCGAAGAAAGTTATCATCATAGCGGCATCATATATATTTAATGCTGCAGGATCAGTGCTTACAATTCGATGTAGGATAAAATTGTTGCAATAAAAGAAGCCACCTTTGTGTTTCAAGCAAAAAACCAAAACTTGTTTGCGCCGTTACACCGGTCAGTTTCTGCGGCATTTCTGGGCGAAGAGCCTCTATGAACTAAAAGAAGGACTCCTGCAAAATCTCTGTTTAGGTTAACACAACAAAGCGATGATATCATGCGGAAGTGTTTAAAGTAGCTCGTGTTATGCGTTGTGTCAATAAAGCCAGTCATTTCGTGCTACCGAAAACGTCTCATTTTTCAGCTAGTCTAATTACATCCAGAGTGCTGTGAATGACGTAACGTATTTGATTTCTTTTTCTTTATAAGTTGTTATTCCCGATGTGTTTGTAGTACAATAAGTAAATGCGAGGGTTATGGAATTCCTAGCGATACAACAATGAAGAAAACTAGAGATCTTCAGAAAGTCTAGAGGAGTGGGTGGGGCCCGAGCTTACGTCACGCCTATACGGTCGAGTCGCATTATCTGGCATTGGTAACACACCTGGCCCCAAAATGTTGCTCTTACTTTTTACTCGTGGGTCCGGTACAAGCATAATATATTTAAAACAGGCATACTTGTGTTTCAAATATTACCGACGACTATTAGACTCTCTAATGGAAAATGCATATGTCAAGGTGTGTGGAAAATTCGCTAGTGTTAGCGCGTAAAATTTCACTCCTGAGTGAGCGAGAACATAGCCTCTCGCATAGCTCTAGAACGCGATTGCGAGCGCAAAAAAGTTCTGCCCGTTAAGGGAGCAGCATTCCGTGAAAATTTAATGTCTCTCTGTATGTAGTACCTCATCTATATGGTGCCACACCCATCGCTGTAGCACCGATCAGTCACGAGAAGCTTGTGACAAATTTCCATACTACTGTACTGCAGCTCATTCTGATTATTAAGGTTGAGCAGTTATGGTTAGACAGCTGCCCTCAACGAGAGCCGATAACATACAAAGTATATTCAAAGTGAAGCGTAAATTACAAGGACATGATACATCGATTGCCCGCCTCTTTGTATGTAGAACACAGAGAGTCAAAGTCAGGCCCAATTGAACTAATACTACACTCAGATCTGAAAGCTTCAGAGTGAACCTCACATGCCTGTAGCCAATGTAACTCCTGCGTTCGAATAAAAACACTTTATAAAGAGCCATAACAGCCTCCATGAGAGGTACGGCTGTTTGATTGAAATGTGTGAAACAACCAATAAAAGAAATACAACCAGTTCAGACATGTGTGGCCACCTTGTAAAAAGAAAGGAAGCGAAAAAGAATAAAGCGTTAGTTTACGCATGCCTGCAATACTGAAAAGGTAATCAAAAGCTTAAGGACGATTGTGACAGAATGAATTATATTATTGACCACCTGTGCTTTCGAGATAGCGAAATAATGAGAACTGTAAGTAAACTTTTTTTTTTCTCAGCAAACTTGTTTAGGTCTGTAGCAATATGTCTATGCATAAAATGATTTTTCCCTCACAACCAAAGTTGCCGACAGTGAAATTTCCATAAAATGAGCTCTTTACCGCTATCATGTTAAGAAACAATAAAGGGAAGGCAAATTTTTACCAAGCTTACACAGAATCGCATAATATTTGTGAAGCAACAATTTTGCACACATAAATTTTGCTCTGCCTATGTATCACATGATTCAGGGACCCCGCTAGTACAACCATTTATTCAAAGTCCAGCCATTTTGGATTAGTGGCTGTGTCCATACTTCCGAGCATTGTAAATAAAAAAAAGCAAGTATAATGTATATTTGAGGCATGACATGAACTTGAATTTATTAGGTGGTGTGTTTTTACTATTAAGTACATAAATATCTAATTACAAGGAACGTAGTATTTCTTTGGCTGCGCTGAAAGTGTCATGTTAGGAACAAAATACTACCGGCAGAATGCTATAGTCTTTTGCCGACATTGATGCAAAGCAAGCACATACATTGTCAGTGTTTTTTGATAAAGTCCAAGCTGTCATTAAACTAAGGGAATGGCAGAATGAATTAATAGGGTTTACGCTAATGCGTTAATATTTTCAATAGTATGCTTTGTACAATCTGCACAACATTTATTGAGGGCTTTCAGCATTTTAATGCCCATTCAATCGCAACTCGGCTGTTGAACAGAACCGTCACAACTAATTCCTAATGCACCCTGTATCACAAATGTTGGATGTACCACACTTAAACACCTATTTAGCAGAAAAATTGAAGTTGCCATTAATAAAAGACCCATGCAGCACACAACGTCGAGCGAAAATTGGTTTTAGGGTATCTTTGAATGGGCCAAGCACGCACCGATGTGGCCGGCGTGGCCCTGATATCGGAGGAGCTGTTGACATTCACCGGCCATTATGGGCCAGCTTTCAGACGATGTTGTGCTTTCAACGGCAACACTGGCCTGAGTGTGTGGCCGTTCTACGATATTTTCGCCAATATGGGCTTAGTCAATGTCTTTCACCAACAACATTGCGCCTTACTGCCACCGTCTTCTGCCGATATTGTCTTAGCCTACGTCTTCCATCGGCAACATTGTACCGACCGAGTTTGCGGTCATTCTTCCGTGCTTTCCCCGATACCGGCTTAGCTGATGAATTTAACTGGGAACCGGGCTTATCGTCAATCTGCCGTATGCCCGGATGGCTGTGTCTAAGAATCGTCCACGGAAGGTTTCAAGAAGTAGTATGGTGCCTTTTTTCTGTGTTGTTTCAGCCCTTGAAGCGATGTTTGTGGCTGAATCAATTGTTGTGTTTCATCGGCGATGCGGAAATACTTCCTTTTCTTACTTTACCCTGCTGTATTTTCCTATTGAGAAATTCAGAAGTCTTCGCAAGTGACACGGGTGAAATTTTTACGGATGAAATATTGCAAGCCATCTTGGAATAGTGGTAATAAAATCCGATCGAGACGGCTATTGCTTAAATTCTCTTCGTTAATCTACGTACGCAGTGATGAAGTGTCGAGCATGGCATGCACGCGTTTCATTGCCGGAACATGTGTGCGCACCTACTGGTAGGCTAGTTACTCGTCGTGGTGGTCTAGCGGCTATGGTGTTGCACAGCTGACCCACAAATAATGGTATTCAATGCCAGCCATGGCAACCGCATTTACGATGGAGGAGAAAATGAGGCCCATGTAGTTAAGTTTAGGTGTACTTTGCACAACCCCACATTTCGAGAAGTTGGGGTGGTTTTTGTAAGCTAAAAAACCCTCATGAACAGATGTACACCTCGTAAATATTACGAGTAGCAATAATATTAGAGCAGATATCGTTATAGGGAACACGATATGATAGTGAGAGGGAGAATGAGGCGCTTTAGTGCTTGTCACGTATAAGTTGCAGAAAGCAGCTACATGAATTGCGCCAATGCTCCATAATTTTTCACACGGCGAAGTGAAATCGAGTGACTTATATCACTCGATTTGAAATCGAGCAAGGTGCCACAAACTGCACAAACTCTTTCCTATCTTTGTGTGTGCACTTGTTCACACACGCACGTGTAGTAGTTAAGTGTAAGAAGTGCATTTACTTCAGTGACGTAGCAATATTTTACCTGGTGGAAAGTAGTACAATTGTGTTTGAAGTAGTATTTGAAGTAGTAGTTTGAAGGAGTATCCGACATCAGGGCCACGCCGGCCACATCGGTGCGTGCTTGGCCCATTCAAAGCTACCCTAAAACCAATTTTCGCACGACGTTGTGTGCTGCATGGGTCCTTTATTAATGGCAACTTCAATTTTTCTGCTAAATAGGTGTTTAAGTCTGAAGGCGCATCCTTGAGCTCATTTGTTCATCACTTCGGGAAACTAGCTATACGACGAAAAGGTTGGGTGAATCCAAACATGTTTATTTTTGTAAGAATGCTTTCATATCAACTAGGCCGCCCGCAATTTCTAACAAACTTACAGATATCTTTTTACCGCGTGCTTGTCAATTTGCGTTTTAATTTCGTCGACGCCCATTTGAAATTTAGTTCAATGATTTTTTGCGCACGATTGCAAAACAGTCACGCTTATTTGTATTATTAGACGGGAAATACGGTAGCAGAGAGAGAACTTTTTATTGATAAGCACGGAATTTTGCCGGTCTATGCAGATCGGCGACTTGCTACTTTGCGTGGGGAATGGGATTGGGGACTGAAAGAAAGAAGGAGAAAGAGAAAAAAATTTAAAACGTAAAACGTAAACAAAAAAATTATTACACTGAAAGTTCTTTTTCTTTGGTAGAAATGTGTGCTGACAAAATGACTTATTGCAATTATGCAAGGCTCCAATACATCATGCTCTCGCACGAGGACATGATAATAAATATCAGTGGCTGCTTAGACATATCGGTATTACTGGAAATCAATTTGCCAATCTAGCTGGCCACTCAGCTCTTGAAGAAACGAGTATGGTTCCGATTTCTCTATGAAGGACTGATGAGGCAAGACAACTTTACATGATAGCTCGTGATTTTACAAGCACGTTCTGGTCGTCTACCAGCTTCGAAAGGTGCCACTTATTTAAACTTGATCCTTCGCTCAAGCTACAGCTACCATCGCAACTTTCCCGCTCCGATACAACACTGTTAAGCCACCTTTAGTTGGGTGTTGCATTCAGTAAGGCGAACTCCTTTCGCATCGGTATAGCAGGCACCTCTACATGCGAATCCTGCGGAGCTGAAGAGACCATCGAATACGTCCTGTGCAGCTGCGCTTGCTACAACATCCAGTGATAGTTCTGAACCAACTGGACTCTAGACCATTCTCTGTGCAGAAGATGCTGGGACCTTGGGCATGCGCTTCAATGGCGCAGAAAGCGAGTAAAGCGCTCCTACAGTACTTGAATACAATAAACCTGAGCGACCACCTGTAGTCTGCGTATGTTCCCCCGAGTGTGCTCGTGATTGTGTGTATCTTTCTTCCCTATCTCCTTTCTTCTTTCTCCCCTTCATCTCTTTCACCAGTGCAGGGTAGCAAACCGGATGTGCGTATAGTTAACCTCCCTGCCTTTCCTTGCATCTTCATCTCTCTCTCTCGCTCTCTTCACTACCATTTGTCGAGTGGACCACCATTGTCCAAATATGTGAATAAAATTTTCATTCCATACCTCTTGTTGTGAAGCAGGTTAAAGGGCTCAATTCATAGTCCGTCGATAAAGTTCTTTGGGCTAGTACAAACTTGTAATGTTCATAGAGCGCATGCTGATCGGCATACGCTCAGCACTCAAACTATGTTCTACAGTTCCGATAGAGCCACAGTTGTT